AACTTGGAGCCAGAACAAGAGGCTACGTTGCCTGGTGCCTATTCCATGCCGCCAACGTTAATCATCTATCCACGCGCGGGGGTCGGCAAAGTAGAAAGCGCGCTGTTCACATCACCGCAGTGGTTAAACACGAGCCACTACCCGAGTGTCCGCCGAGGCATTGACTGTTACGAGCCGAAGTCGAGTTGCTCACTCAGTGCACGTGTCCAATCCAGGAGCCGCGCTCGACTGTCGAAAGGCGTATGGTTGTGATCCCAGAATTACGTCATCAAGCTTCGTGAAAGCGAGACTCAAAGAAATGGTGGCTCCCGAGAGTTTTTTCAGGTTAATGCAATTCGATTGCAACCTCGTGTATGGGCCTGGAGAGCAGTTATTGCTTGCTAACGCATTTTCCCGCATACGAACGCCACCTCAATCGGATACAGGAAATTGCGCCGAAGACGTGTCTATCCACGCAAATGCTATCTTAACGAGCATCGTAAGCGACACAATGATGACGAGGCTAGTTTCCGCGACAGCGCAAGATGAAGAATTGCTTAAAGTCCTAAAATCTTTCCATGCACCCAACACAGTTGAAGGCCAAATGGCTTCTTTTTCATCTGAACTATCTTGCGTACGAGGCATAGTAATGCGCGGACCTAAAGTTGTAATGCCGAAAACATTAAGAAAAGAAATGCTTCAGCGCTTTCGCGAAGGACATTTAGGATTAAACAAGTGCAAGGCACGAGCTAGGCTTTTAATGTACTGGCCTGGCATGGAGCACGGACATTGAAAACATGATCGCGAAATGCGGAACATGTCGCATATTTGCCTATAAACAACCTTCAGAGTTTTTATGCAGTAGGGAAACGTCTCGGCCGTTTTGGGCCCGTGTAGGTGTCGATCTTTGTGAATACGCGGGCAGAAGTTATCTTCTTGCCTACGATGCGTACTTGAATTATCCGGAGGTTGAATTTCTGCAGACTACTTCGAGTAAAATGGTGATAGAAAAATTTTCAAGCCTATTTGCCAGACACGGAGTTCCGCTTGAGGTGTGCACCGACGGAGTCACGGAGGCCCACAATTTACATCCCAAAAGTTCAGGAAGCTTGCCAATCTATATGACTTTACGCATGTCACCTCCAGCCCCCGGTTCCTAAGGTCAAATGGTTTGGCAGAAACGGGTGTGCAAGTAATCAAGAGGTTACTGAAGAAAACCAAAATGCAAGCGAGGACTTCTGGATCGGGCTTCTGAACTACCGAACAGCTCCCCTGTGTTCAGTAAGCGAGGTTACGCGTGCTATCGCGTGCCGAAGGTACGGGGGCTGCTAGAGGACGACGAAGAAAAGAACACTCTTTGTCTGGGCTCGAGAAGGAATGGTTGTGTTCTTGTCCCCATGCTAACACAACATGGTGGCAGCGGTGGTGGCAGCGTCTGGTTAAGGACGTTCGCCCTGGGAGGACTTCGGTAAGGAGTGTACCAGGACGACGACTGCGAACCGATGGCAACAGAAGTCGACGGTTCTCAAGAACATGATGTTCGGACCGCCATGGCGGCTCAACTCTTCGCATGCCATCTACCGGAAGAGTTCGACTTTTTCAAGTCAGAAAACTGGCCCCAGTGGATTTGGAGGTTCGAGCGCTTTCGAGTGGTGAGTGGACTCCAAGCAAAAAGTGGTTCCGAAGAGGTCAGCGCCTTAGTCTACTACATGGGAGTCAAGAGCGAAAATATTATTCTCTCGCTGAAGCTGACAGAGACGCAAATGCAGCAGAACGACGCAGTGTAAAACGTAATTTACGACAGGGCCAAGTTCCATTCGCGAATGCAAAAGTCATCGGAGTCAGTAGAAGACTTCACAACAGCTCTTCACAGATTGGCCAGGTACTGCCGGTTCGACAACGTACACGACGAAATGCCATCAGGGACCGCGTCGTAGTGGGCGTCCGAGACAGGAAGTTGTCCGAGCGGATGCAGCTCGATGCGAAGCTGACATTAGAAAAAGAAACCACAAAGGCACGTCAGTTGGAGACTGTGAAGAAGCAGCAAGCTGATCTTCACGTAGAAGACAGTCTCAATCGAGTGTCCACGGCGTCACCACCGACGCGCAGCGTGAATGCGTGGTCTTCCAAAGCGGCTACTAAAGAAACATGTCCGTTGTGTGACCGGAGTTCCCATTCACGAAGTAGATGTCTCGCTAAACAAGCAACCTGCGACAAGTGCAAGAAAATAGGACATTTTGCAAAAGTTTGACCCGCAGCTCCGTGACAGTTAGGGAAGTCAAAGGCGAAGAGCCCGCCTTTCTTAGAGTCATAGAATCAGCCGAGGAAGACGGATGGAGTATTGTACTGACAGTTCAGACAGCTCCAGTATCTTTCAAGATAGACACGGGGGCAGACATCACTGCGATTCCAGAAAGAACCTACAGACAGTACCTCAGTGATCTGCCTCCGGTTGAGGCCAAAAGAGTAGTAAAGGGGCCCAGCCGAACAAAGTTCAGCGTACTGGGTGTACAGAGAGCAGATATTCACCATAGAAAAAAAAACGCATATCCGCTGATGTCTATGTCCTAAAAGAGCTAGACGAACCACTTTTGTCGAGAGGCCACTCTGTAGAGTTGGGTCTTGTACAGAGACTGAGTGCGGTAGTGGGCACGAAACCCGGGAAGATTCGATCCAAAGGGCGAGTTTCCGGAACGGCCTTGGCAGCACGTTGGCATAGATCTTTTCTACTTGAAAAACAAGTGGTACTTGCTAGTGACGGATTATTACTCCAAATATCCCGAAGTTGCTTCCTTAGCCAGCTTGTCAGCTGTTTCTGTCGTCGACCACATGAAGTCTATCTTCGCAAGATATATGGGACGCCGGAAACCGTATACAGCAACAACGGACCACAGTTTTAAAGATTACTTGGTTCCGAGTTCTCCAAGTTCTCCAAAAAATGGGGTTTTGTTCACAAAGCGTCTAGCCCAATGTTTCTACAAAGCAACGGTTTTGTGGAAGCCGGAGTGAAGATCATCCAGAGGAGCTGAAAAAAGACGGATGATGCGTACCGTGCATTACAGTCATACCGTGCTACCCCCCTTGCAAACGGGTTTAGCCCAGCTGAACTTCTAATGGGCCGAAGAATTCGAACATATGTCTCAATTGTTCCTTCTTTGTTAAAACCTGTTACTCCCGAGCCTCAGAAGCTACGGAAGTGGGAGGAAGAAAACAATGAGAAACAGAAACGTAACTTCGACACGAGACATGCCGCACGTCCGTTGAAACCCCTGCAAAGCGGACAACGCGTCTGGATAATTGACCAGAGGACAAGCGGAATGGTGCAGTCTCAAGCAGGTCCACCTCGCTCCTACTAGGTCAAAACGGACTGTGGGATTGTAAGGCGCAACAGATTCCATCTGGTACCGTCGACTCCAGCCTCTTCTGGGGTTCCTGCTACCAGTGACATGGTACAGCCTCTACTAGAGCTACCAGCACCTCCACCTAGTGGGCCACAAAGTCTGACTGTCACTAGAAGTGGACGGACAGTAAAGCTGGTGAATAAATTGAACTTGTAATACTATCCACCAACCGACCAAAAGGGGGAGGTGTTCAGTAAGCTAGGTTACGCGTGCTATCACGTGCCGAAGGTGGGGGGGGGGGGGGGGGGGGGGGCTGCTAGATGACGACGAAGAAAAGAACACTCTTTGTCTGGGCTCGATAAGGAATGGTTGTGTTCTTAAAGCCATGCTAGCACAACACCCTGGAAGACGGGCGATGTCCTTCAGAGCTCCTAATGGGACGGAGGTTGAGAAGCCGAATTCCAGACTTTGGCGTGCCCGCCTCTTTAGTGATTCACAAGCACGTTCAGGACACAAAGATCTGTCGGAGTCTCCCACCCTTGCAACGAGGAAACAGCGTGCGCGCCTACAAACCGACAAAGGGTGGAGCAACCCAGCTCAAGTCCAGCAAGCTGTGGCGCCAAGGTCCTACCGGGTAATGACAGAGGAAGGAAGAGAGTTACGCCGCAATCGACAGCACCTGAGGAACACTACTGAGGACTTTCAGCAAACCCACCTCACCTCTGGGCTACCCTTTGCTGTTTGCACAGAGCGCGTCTGACAGTGTATCTCAGCGCTGTCGCAACTTGCGGCCGAGATTTTAGAGCTCAGCTTTTAGGCGCCCGTTTCCGGCTTGAGCGGCGTCCCCCCGAGGTCACGTGACCCCCTCCCCGAGATCACGTGTCCCCTCCCCCCGAGGCCACATGACCCTCCCTCAGTACCCTTCCCTCCTCCTCCTCCTCCTCCCCAAGAGCTGCGCTCTAATTCGGCGTTACAGGGAGTTGTAAACGGCTTTCATTTTAGAGCGCGCAACTCTTAGGCGCCCGTTTCCGGCTTGAGCGGCGTCGCCGTCGCCGTCGGCGTAACCGAGGTCACCCCAAGGTCATGTGACCGCCAAGGTCACCCCTCCCAAGGTCACGTGACCCTCAAGGTCACGTGACCCCCGAGGTCACCCCTCCCAAGGTCACGTGACCCCCGAGTTCACGTGACCCCTTCCGAGGTAACCTCAAGGTCACGTGACCCCCAAGGTGACTCCCTCGTAACCCCCCCAGGTCACGTGGCCCCCTCCCCGAGGTCACGTGACTTCCCCTTCCCCCTCCCCGAAGCCGCGCGACACCCCCCCCCCCCCCGAGGTCACGTGACCCCCTTCCCCCGAGGTCAGGTGACCCCCGGAGCATATGCAAGAATGAGGGGAGGAGGAGGAAAAGGAGGATGAGGAGGAGGGGTCTAGAATCCCCTCAGTACACTTCCCTCCTCCTCCTCAAGAGCTGCGCTGCAATTCGGCATTACAGGGAGTTATAAACGGCTTTCACTTTTTATAGCCTCTGACACCTGATCCTTACGTTTAGACCCTCAGCCACTATCTAATGCGCTTCTGATGAGCCCAAAACGGTGAATATTTGACGCACATCTCCGAGAGATTCGGGAGTAAAAAGTAGTAAGTAGATGTTCTGTTCTAAGCAGTAGACAGACGCCTTGGTGGCAGCAACGCAAAAAGCCTTTATTCCCAGACAGCAGCGCTCTTTTATAGATAACACTGCATGCCGAACGAGCACACGTCATCGGGGTTATACAATCTTATCAGAGCCCGTGGCCGGTACGGAACATTCCTCCCTCCTTAAATTAAAGCTACACGCGTTTCTTTTCGCGTTCATAATTGGAGGCTTGATAGCGATCTGGTGGACGTCTTGTGCGATTACTTCTTCGCAAAGGGGCCTCTTCGGGTGATGCCATGGCTGTAGCCGTGGTGATGTTTGAGGGCTGCGCTGCTGAGTGTTCTGCCTCAGGCTGAGATGCCAGTTGCTCTCTTGAAGTGGCGTCACCTAAGCGTACGTCGTCCAGCTGTTCCGCAGTAGGACCACTAACCATGGATTCACCAGAGGTCTCACGTTCTGGAAGGTTTGTTGTAAAGTCCTGCTGACTACTGGCACTTAGAGCGGGCTCTGCTTCTTGCGCGACGTCCGGGTAGATCTTTGGTCCAGATGTCCGGGTGGTCTTTGGTCCAGATGTCCACCTGGGTCTCAAATGGTCGATATGGACAAAACGAAAATGATCTCCGACCTTGACTACAAACGTAGAGTCGCTTACGCGTTGTGCCAGGACAGCTTCCTCCCACGACAGGGTTTCCCCTCTCGTAGTCTTCACGAAAACTGGATCACCAACTTCCATCTGCAGGTCCCTTCCTCGGCCCTCGTTGCGATGTGTGGCGTCTCGGTTTTGACGACTCCTCATGTCCTGCACAAAACTTGGTTTCAAGAGCGAAAGCTTTACTCGAGGTTGTCGTTTCAGGAACAGCTCAGCCGGCGTTCTTCCCGTTACAGAATTTGGGGTGTTCCTGTAAGCAAGCAAGAAGTCGCTAAATCGCTGATGCAGAGTTCTGTGCTGGCCTGTTAAGTTATCGTAAAGCACTTGCTTGAGTAGAGAAGCTTTTGTTGTCTGAACTAGCCTTTCTGCTGCCCCATTCGACGAAGCATGGTATGGTGGCGTACGAGTGTGTCGAATTCCGTGAGAAGCGGCGAAATCAGAGAACTCGTGCGAAGTAAACTGAGGTCCGTTATCACTAACCAGTTCTTCCGGGTAGCCATAGGCTGCAAATATCTCTTTGAGACAGTCGATTGATTTTGATGTCGTTGTAGTACGGAGGCATTTTGCTTCTATCCACTTTGAGTAGGAGTCTACTAGAAGGAATAAGTTCGAGCCATCCTTCATGGCGAAGTCGACATGAACTCTCTGCCAAACACGAGTTGGATAAGTCCATGGATGAAGTGGTCCTGGTGCCTTCGCAGGCAAGGTCGTTTGACACACTTTACGTTGACGGACAATGGCTTCGATGTCTTTGTCAATCAACGGCCACCAAACAAAAGACCTCGCGAGCATCTTCATTCTTTGCATTCCTGGGAGCTCTTCATGCAACAATGCTAACACTGCGTTTTTAAGTTCGTCCGGAATGATGGCTCGTTGGCCCCACGTGACACAGCCTTGCTCGTACGATAGTTCGTTTCGACGAACGTAAAAAGGCTGCAGTTGATCATCGTAGTGCGCGGGCCAGCCAGCTAAGGTGAACTGCACTACTTTGGAAAGAATGCGGTCCCTTTTAGTCGCACCCGCCACCTGGCTCGCAGTGAGAGGCGTTGAATCAAAGACTGCAAGACATTCTTTGGTGTCGTCTTTATGCTTGACTGGAAGTGGCAGCCTTGAAAGTGCGTCAGCAACTTCCATGTTTTTGCCGTTTTTGTGCCGTAGCGTGTACTGATAAGCTGCTAAGGTGATAGCCCAACGCTGAATCCTCGCTGCAGCCAGAGAAGGAATTGGCTTATCTGATGCCAAAATGCCCAACAGCGGTTGATGGTCTGTATAGAGCGTGAATTTGCGTCCATACAGGTATCTATGAAACCTGCTTAAACCAAAAATCATGGCCAGGGCTTCCCTCTCGTCTTGTGCGTAGTTACGCTCCGCTGCGTTCAATGTTCTGGAGGCAAAGGCGATAGGTCTCTCTGAACCATCGGGCATGACGTGAAAAATAACGGCTCCAAGACCGTAGGCGGACGAGTCGCAGCTTAATCCGATCGGTTTTTTCACGTCGTAAAATGTCAGAACTTCACTGTCGATGAGACGCTGCTTAGATTCCACGAACGATCTTGAACATGCGTCCGTCCAAACCCAACTCTTGTCCTTTTTGAGTAGATCATACATTGGCGCAGCAACTGTAGCTAAGTCTTTGATGAATTTTGCGTAGAAATTCAGCAGGCCCAAGAAGGCTCGCAGTTCGGTTACATTGCTTGACTGAGGTGCTTCCGTGATTGCTTTTATCTTTGTCGCAGTTGGAAAAATACCATCAGTTGTCACTTTGTGCCCAAGATAAACGACGGACTGCTTGAAAATTCACATTTCTGTTCTTTTACTGTGCTATTGTGCTTTGCCAGTCTTTCAAGCACCTTTTCCACGGTTTGTTGACAGTCGTCTATGTTGTCGCCTACGACGATGACGTCGTCGATATAGCAGCCCACTTTTGGAATCCCTTTTAAAACTTCGTCCATTAATGACTGAAAGATAGCCGGGGCGCTAGCGATGCCGTACGGAAGCCGCTGAAATTGAAATAATCCGAGATGCGTGTTCACAGTTAACAACGCTTTGCTTTCCTCAGCTAGCGGCACTTGTTGATAGGCTTGCGATAGATCTAGGACGCAGAAGATCTTTCCTCCGGCAAGCATAGAATACAAATCTTCCGGCAATGGCAAAGGGTAATGGTCAGTTTTCAGAACAGGATTAACCGTGACCTTGTAGTCGCCGCATAATCGTAATCCTGCGCCGCCTTTCTTCGCGACCACCACCAGAGGTGTTGCCAGTCGCTTTTCGTGACCCTCTTCAGGATTCCGCTTTGCTCAAGCTTTTCCAACCCCTTTGCTACTTCCTCTTTCATCGCAAACGGTATTGGCCGTGCTTTTGAGAACACTGGTTGAGCCCCTTCTTTTACATAGATGCGAGCTTCGTAGTTCTTGACGATGCCCGGGGCGCTCTTGAAAACCTGGGGATACTTCTTCCGTAATGCATCTACCCTTTGATCCAGTGATCTATCCGCGGACATACTGTACACTGCTTTCCAGTTTATCTTTAATTTTTCCAGCCAGTCTCTTCCCAGTAGAGCGGGCATCAACGTTCCGTTCTCTTGTGCTATCACTACGGGCAAAGTGATCTCGCTTCCTTCATGGTCTATCAAAACTTTTGCTTTTCCAAGCACTTTCAGCTTTTCCCCTGTGTAAGTGCACAATGACACATTTGTTTCGACGCATTTTACATGCGGAAAATACTGTCTGTACACACGCTCTGGTACGATCGTGACCGCTGCACCCGTGTCAATTATCATAGAGACAGTTTTCCCTTCAATCTTGAGGTCTACGCTGTAGCCCCTTGAATGTTTGCCTGAATAGAACACGGTATGGCAGCTCAATTCTTCGGATTCGTCGTCCGTGGTGTCGACGTATCTCACAGCCTTTGTTTTGGCTCCTTTCTTGCAGACGGCTTGCAAGTGCCCCTTTTTGTTACAATTTCGGCAAGTGTGGTTCCGATACCAACATTTTTCTGCCCTATGACGCTTTCCGCAATGCCAGCAAGCACTACGCAGTTCTTCATCTTGCTTATCTTTCGACCGTGATACTGCCCCCAATTCCTTTCCCTTATCACGGTGTCGTTCGCCGCGAACGGCGTTGACGCTGTGCGGTTTTCCGTCAAATTCATGCATTTGCTTTGCCTGTTGTGCAGCTAGCTCTTTCTCTAGCGCCGTTTTGCATGCCAGCTCAAACGTCAGGTCTGCTTGTGCAAAAAGAACCCGTTGCGTTTCTTCGTCACGCAAACCAGCTACCAGTCTGTCCCTTAGTGCATCATTTAGAAACGTGCCAAAATTGCAATCTCTTGCCAGGTGCTTTAGTTCCGTGATGAAATCTTTGACACCTTCATTTTCATGTTGCATTCGACGATTAAATTTACAACGCTCTGCAATGATTGAGTGAGCTGGGCTGAAATGACCTTCTAGAAGCTGTTTAACTTCCCCGAAGGTCTTCTGAGACGGCAAATGAGGCACGACTATCTTCTTTAACTCTTCATATGCCTCCGCTCCGAGTACGTTGAGAAACAGCTTAAGTTTCTTCTCTTCAGGGACATCATTTATGTCTACGTAGTTCTCAAAGCGTTCGAAATACGAGCGTATGTTGTCGATTTTCGGGTTGAATTCTGTCATCCTGCCGAGCTTAGGGCCATGGCCTGGTTCTGCCATAATGAGCAAACTTCACTTATCTGTAGAGCGGATTTCCTCGATGCGCCTTGTCCGTACTGCCCGTGCTCGTTCGCTTGCTCCAACCGGCCGCTGAAGTTCATGCAGGGGCTCCGTAACGCCTTACTTCCACGCGGCGTTCCTGCGCTGCTCCAGGCCGTCGATGAAATCCTGGCTGCAAGGGCTCCGTGTTGCCTTGCACCGTGGACGGTTCAACCTAGTGACTGCTGCTGGCCGGCAGCGACTGACTGCGCGCCAAATCCCATGTTCGTCGCCAGATGTTCTGTTCTAAGCAGCAGACAGACGCCTTGGTGGCAGCAACGCAAAAAGCCTTTATTCCCAGACAGCAGCGCTCTTTTAGAGATAACACTGCATGCCGAACGAGCACGCGTCATCGGGGTTATACAATCTTATCAGAGCCCGTGGCCGGTACGGAACAGTAGAGACAGCGAATGCAATTGCATAAAAACTATACTAGTCTTTACCTCCAGGATTTTCGTTGCAACTCAAGAACTGGAGGAGACGGACCCCTTCTACGTGGAGGAACTTTAAATGATAAATAATTCGTACACTCGTGAAATGTAAGAAGGCCCAATCTATCTATTGCCGTGGTCTGCATCATCGTTTCATAGGCCGCACATGAAGTCGGTCAGCTGCTCTAGATGAGAGTGTCGTAGTCTATACAAGTTTCGCACAGTGCATGTTACAGCCTAAACTGCTTCCTGGGGGCTTGTGCACATATCCAGCTGATCTTTTGTCACAGGGGAACGCAGTTTGCTGACGACACTGCCGGTCGGTAGAGTGACCTGTACCCGTGCCACACGGGCAACTCGAATGCCATTTACAACGAATGACATTTGTGTAATCGGCGAATCAGCTCGCAATCTGTCGCGCGTGGAATGCGCCACGCCCGGAGTGTCGCGCGTTGATTGGCCGTCCGCTCATATGTCATTCGTTGTAAATGGCATTCGAGTTGCTCGTGTGGCACGGGTATAAAATCGAAGCGAAGTTCAATAAACCGTTGCCAAAACAACAACCTACGAAGTTCGAGCACCAGCGCAAAGCAGCTCGAAGGGAGTCTCCGAGTGGGGTCAGAGTAAAGCCCCTCGATATGTTTTCGTTTGTCTTTGCAAGTAGCGCCAAATGCGCGAGCGCACGTTGCCCAGGTCTCGAGCGGCCCTTGGAAGCAAATGGCGGCGCAGCACTAAAATGAGCGGCCCTTGGAAGCGAATGGCGGCGGAGCACCCGCTCGTGGCACGTGTCTTGCGCATTTCCACAACAATGGTTGGCGGTACTTGTAAAAACACCTTTATCAAGGGGCTTTAGGTCAGAGTGGGGTGAGGTGGTTGCGCCCCTGGCGTCAAGCAAGTGAACTACATACGGAGAAAAAATGCCGTTGACTCCCGGGCGACTGCAAAGGCCGTAAGAAGAGAAAGAGAGCGCGCGCTTCCAGTCCGGCCGTGGCTCTATATAGACGTGGTCGTCAAGAGATACATATAGACCGCTTGGACGTACGTATATTGCAAGGGGCTCCTCGCAATCCAAAAGAGCACAAAGAACTCAAGGTGCTGCACGCACCCTCGGAAGAAGTCGAACCAACGGAATCCAACATTGAAATTAGTCTCCCCTGATGAAGAAACCGAGCAGTTTTGGAAACGTTCGGCTGTACCTTTTTTTTTTTTTATTTTAGTTGGAGTACCTCCTTTTTTAAATTTAACTTTCCCCCAACCAGACAAATTTTTGGCGAAAATGTTATTGTTCTTGTCTTTACGTGATGACTTCGAACAGGAGACAGCACCTACCTCGGTTTTACGAGGACCTGCCGGGACATGCCTGTGGTTCCTCGAAGCCTCCGTCAGAAACGCCTCGTCCACACACAGGAAGGACACGAGATCCTAGTGCACAAAAAAACGACGACGACGAGGCGATGTGCAACATGTAGCCCATGACAAGTTCCCGATCCAAGGTCGAATATTCCCAATTCGAACCAGCGGAAGCTACAGAAAAGCAGCAGGGAGGTGAGTGGAGATCATCAACAACCTAGAAACTGAAACTCTCGGTCCAGAGATCACTTTCGGGTGAGCAGTCAGCTTTCGATCACTGGCCACACCAACCCGCCAAGCTAAGCCTGGCAGCTGCACAGCTGTGCAGCGAGGCCTAACGCCGATGGAGCTTCACCAGCGGGGCTGTGTTGCACGTTTTGGACCCCCAGGAGACTAGGAAGAAGGAAGTGACATAGGTGTGAATGAACGTATCTTAGCAGCACCACGCAAGCGTTGTTGAATGAACGTATCTTAGCAGCACCAGCGTTGTTGACGTCACTTCCTTCTCCCTAGTCTCCTGGGAGTCCAAAACGTGCAACATAGCCCCCCAGGGACGACCCACGGCGTCCCCCGCACACATATAGCAGTCCGCACCGCCGATAGCGCTCATCTATTCATTGTGGACATGCAGGGTCCTTCAACTTCTCGAACAATGGAGTGGAAACCCGCCCCTAAGGCACCAAGACAGATCAAGGCGACGACGGTCGTGCTGAAGCTGATGAACAACGAGTACCTCGCCTCGATAGGCCTCGCTGCACTAACCAACGCCCTCAAAATGGCGGCGGCCCTCACCAAACAAGAGTGTGCAGACACCTACTTTAAACTCCGAGCGCCGCAGAATCTCTTCATCGTGGACGTTTACAGAGCCACGCCAGTACAAAAAGTCATGACAACGGAACAGATTCAAGTAGTGGGCACTACCAGGCTTGTACGTAATCCGTTAAAAATAACGAAATTACTTGTAATCCCTTACATTTATCGGTACTTTAGTAACGAAATAATTACATATTTTCTAGAGTGATCTTAAAGTAATTCCATTACATTTTTTACGTAACGGATTCGTCGTAATCCGTTACATTTTTTTTGAACCAGCCCTTCCCCCTCCCTCCCTTGCTTCTAAGAAAAGGGCGTTTTTTTTTTTTTTTTTGTAAAGTTGAGCGCAGCGACACTGTCACACGAATTGACCAGCGCAAAGGGAGGCTTGGCACTCTTCAGCTCCGTTCCGCCCTTCAAACGACAATAATAATAATTATTAAAAACTGCCGGACCTCCGCTGGAAACTTTGAAGCACGGTGGAGTAATCGTCACGATAAAAGATCTAAAACAACAAAATAAATAGCCTGACGGTCGTCGGCGGCATCATGAGGCCTGCCTGAGTGCGGAGTTCTTTTCTACCACGTCAAATTCTGACGCCAAGACACTCTACCTCCTCCGTTCCAACGCGTTTTTCGTTATTAAATTAACAAATCAGCTTCAAATAAGGGTCATGGCACCCTCTAATGTAAAAAAAAAGAACAAAGAACAAGGAACATTTTGAGCAGCCAGAGCAGCACGGCCGCTCCTCCTCTCATCAAAGAAGACGCCGTCCGAAAATCCAACGGCTCCCTTTTTATTTTTTTATTTTTGTATTTTTATTCACTTTGTTACTTCATTTTGTTGTTGGGTTCGACTGCTCCCTTCTCTGTGACGATGCCGTCTGTGGTCATACGTTTGGCGTTTGTGTTGTCACGCGATAGTGTGGTCCGACCGATCAACCAATAAGTTTGTTAGAATTGTGTCACGAGGTATGAAATGGCGGATCAAATAAAAATAATAAATGCGAAGGAGCGCAGTTATACTAGTTTGGTCCTCGGCGCTTTATTCTTCCAGAGGCGAGCATCGCAGTGCCATGGTGTTTAACCTGTGCCGTCTTCATGACGCCATGAAAGACCCTTTCGAAGCAATTAATTTGCTTCAGCGCATGGGCCTGCTCCTGGCTCCTGGGTTTTCGTGCGTGTCCAGTGTGCGAAGCTGCGATGACAAGTTGCAAGTCCGCGCTCGATCTGCGGATGGCTACTCGTGGAGATACGGTGTGTGGATGACTCGTGAGGTGCCAAGAGGAAGTCGGTCAAAGTTCAGTGCCGGGGCGAGGTCTCCGTACGGAGCGGTTAATTTTTCGAAGGATCGCACCTGACGCTTCTCCAACTCATGACAATCATCCTCCGGTGCCAGAGCCTACCGTACGCCGTCATTCAGCGGGAGACTGATGTCGCAAGTAAGACAATAACTGATTGGACGAGCCTTCGTCAGGAGGTTGTGGTAAATGCCGTCTTTACGCATTCGACATGATTGATGGCGAAGGCGTGACTGGAGAACTAGACGACAGTATGTTCCGTCGGCGAAAGTACCATCGCGGGTATTTAAGGCCTAGGGTTTTCGGCGGTGTGGAGCGTTGCAGCGGGTGCTGCTTTCTTGTTCCCATGGAGACCCGTGACGCTAAAACCCTGCAAGGGCTAATAGCCGAGTGGGTCCGCCTTGGAACAAGAATAATCACAGACTGTTGGGCTGGCTATCGCAAGCTTGCAAATGAGGCTCGCTTCACGCACATCACCGTCAACTACAAGCTGCACTTTGTCGGCGCGAACACTGGTGCGCACATCAATACGGTGGTGGGCACCTGGGCACACGTCAAAAACTTTCTTCCATCTGGACGGCGCGAGAGCCACCATTTCACTTGTCACCTTGCAAAGTTAATGTTTTGGAGGAGAGAGAAGGAGCGCGGAAACACTGATAGATTCCAGTCGTTCGTCGCCGCGCGTACGCCAAAATCTAGAGCCCCGACGCAGACAGGGCGAGGATTCTGACGGCCCCGGTGACTTCGAGTGATCCGCTGCGCTGAGCCCGTCGCCCGCCTGCATGCATAAAGACGACTTTTGCGCCAACCGCTTGTCAAGTGCTCGTTACGTCAGTTATAGGTTCTGGTAGCGGTCTAAACGGCCCTTTTCAGGGCTCCCGTATTTTGCAAACGGAGCTGTTTTCTGAATGCGGCACCCCGTGTCCCTGTAAAAAGTTCAGAGGAAAAACCCAGCCAAGGTATGTGGTCCCCAACTTGGATATCGCGTGTTATGATTCAAATAAAAATTGTTCTTGCTTATTTCACGCCTTTGATCCCAATAAATGCCCTTTGTTGCAGTCGTCCCGCGGTGCTGTTGCTTGCTCAATCGCCGTCGGCGTGTCTCAGCTTCGTCGTCTTTGCCAGCGGCGCACCGGCGGAGGCGATTGATCTGACACACCGCGTTCGTCTTTGGCTAGCAGACGACGTTCGTAAAACGGCGTTAGCTGTTGCTGGCTTCGCGCGGCGGTATCGTGCGTGCTTTCATTCATTCGGCGTTTGTTGCCATGGTGACGGCGAGGAAAGCAGACGAACCACTGATCTCCACTAGAGGGGGCTGGATGGCGCGTTGAGCTAGGGTGCCTACATGTCTTTCTGTCTCAGGGTGAAGACATCCATTGTTGCCCTGGATG